TGGCGTGCACCTGTAATCTCAGCTACTCGGGTGGCAGAGGTTGCAGTGAGCCGATATTGTGCCGTTGCACTCCAGCCTGGGCAACAAGAGTGAAACTCCATCTCAAAAAAAAAAAAAAAGAAAAAAGCACGGATACTTGCTTCCTTGGTGTGATTTCAGGGGACCAAATGACCATGGCCCTTTATAGATACCTCCCCAATGCTCCGTAAGCACATTTCCCAGTGAGCGTGGAGGAACGCCACGCTATCATGCTAATTGGTATTGAGCACCTAGTGGTTCTGTGGCCAAAGAAGTCAGTGAAGTGTTGAGCTAGAAAAGCTCCATGAGAAGGTCTCGATTGCAGTGCTCCTTGGAGCTCTTAGGACGTTAATGAGTGCTGGGAATATGGTTGGCCATGTTTTCTAGGTGATTTAATCAGGGAAACTGCATGCTGTACAGTGCCTCCACCTTCCAGACTTATATCCTGGAAGACACTTAGTGAAATGTGTTTTTTTTGGTTTCTCCTTGGAAATTTCAGGCCACAGGAGACAGAGCATGGGGCAGGAAGGGGTGGGAGGTCCCACAGCACAGAGGTGTCGGTGGGGCAGTCTAACACTGGAGGGGAGGTGCTAATTCAGTAGGGTTGCTTGCCCTGAAGCAGGGACAAATGTCCACCCTGAAGCCACCAGCCAGTAACCAAGAGAACAAAAGAGACACTGCATTGTTTATCCCAAACTAAGAGATAATTCGAAAACCCAAATCTCCCTTTTTCAAAATGTTCCCTTACTCCCCAAAATGAGAACACATTCATTAACCAGTTCTAAAGTCCCCTGCTAATCTCCAAAGGACAAGCCCAGGGGTTTTAAACCGCCTCTCTGCTGCAGCTCAGGCTGGTGGTAAAGCCATCTCACACTGCAGTGCAGTGACACATTATCACAAGACGTCCCCCTCCCTGGGGTTGAAGCCAAAGGCCAGTGCTATTTCCTGAGCCATCCCGGAACCCACACTGCCTGCTGCCCACAGGATTCCTCCCAGCAATTGGCCACTGGCATGAACAACACAAACCATGGCATCTACTGACATTTTTCAAATAAGGGCACTGTGCCGTCACTTACATGTGTCAGTGCAGGCACCCTCATCTGAAATTGTGGTGCTCGGGGGCTCAGTTTATAGGACCTGCCCAAGGTTAGTGCTGGAGCCCAGTCTGTTGTATGCTGTGTCCTTCTCTGACTTAGGGCGCTTCACCATCCCACTGTATTTGGAGCGGCCTCCTCCAACCCACTGGGCTATTGGGCAGTCTGTGTCCTTCCCATCTCCCGGCTGACCAAGGGATCCTTGGCACGGCCAAGTTCATTGTTTCCTCCAAACTTAACTTGGCTTGGCAAGAGCAGAGAGGACCGGGGAAGCTAGGATGGAAGACTGTGAGGGAGAGTCCCATACTGCTTGAGCCCGGAGAGGGCAGCAGTGAAGATGGATACAAACACGAGGGTGTGTCCGCTGCAGGACAACTGTCTCACATGGATTTTTAAGTGGATATTTGAAGTGAGGTTCAGTATGTGAGGTGCTGTGTGTGTTATGTGTATGTGCTAGTGTGGTGTGTATGTATGGTATAGTGTGTATGTGCAGTGTATGTATGTGTGCAGTGTGTGAATTTGTATGTGGCAGGTGTGTTTGGTATATTTCTGTACTGTGTGGTGCATGTATGTTCTGTGTATTTGTGTGCATGTGCATGTATGTGTGCTCATAGCTGCACATGTGTACGTATGTGTTCATGTGGGTATGCGTGTACATGCATGTACGTGTGTGCACATATGTAAATATTTATGTATGCATTTGTGCATGTGCTTATATGTGTGGATGCATGTGTGCATGTTAATGTGTGCGTGTTCATGCCTGCGCATGTGTGTATATGCATTCATGCATTGAGACATATGCACATGTGCTGGCATTCATGTGTGCATATGTACGCATGTATGCATGCATGTGTGCATGTGGATATATATGTGTGTATATCTGTGCATGTGTGTAACCTCCTTAGAACCGGCAGAGGTTGGGGCCTTGGAATCCTTTCTTTGTCTACCCCAATTCCCTTCAGGCTGTCTTCATAGAGAAAGGGACAGCTCAAAACCCACAACCCTGCATTGGCCTGATGGGGGATTTTGGGTCTCCTCAAAAAGTCAGCCTTTTATAAAATAGGCCATGGGCTGTCAGGCCCTTGCTGAGTAGATGCTCTGCCCATGAATAAAACATACAGGCAGGACAGGACCCTCCCTGCTGGGCCTCCCCTTTCTGTGCGGTGGAATCTCACAGACAGCTTTGAGTGGACTGTGCAGATCTACTTTTATTTTTTGGTGATCTTGTCTGTCACCTGGGCTGGAGTACAGTGAGGTCATCAAGGTAGCTCTTCTGAAATGAATGGAAAACACGACATGCTGATAACCAGTGGAGGGAGCTCTTTGCAGGGCCGGGAGGCCTGACCATGCAGCTGCCCCCTCTGCATCATGGCTCATTTCAGCCTTGACCTCCCAGGTTCAAGTGATCCTCCTGCCTCAGCCTCCCAAGCAGCTGGGACTAAGGTACGCACCACCACGCCCAGCTAATGTTTTGATCTCTGCAGAGACAAAGTCTTACTATGTTGTCCAGGTTGGTCTCAGACTCCTGGGCTCATGTGTGAGATCCTGCCTTGGCCTCCCAAAGCGTTGGGATTATAGGCATGAGCCACTGCACCCAGCCAACACATTCACTCTTTTAGGACATGGCAGGGACTTCATGTTTTAGAAAATATTTAGCTACTTCTTTGACAACGCTGCTTGGCACTGTTTGACAGCGTGACTTATCACATCCTAGTAACTTCCATGAAAATCATCACAAAGCTAATTTTAAATTTTTATTAAAAATCACAATTTTTAAAAGTGTCCAGTGACACAATGTAGCTCTTCTGAAATGAATGGAAAACAGGACACGCTGATAACCAGTGGAGGGAGCTCTTTGCAGGGCTGGGAGGCCTGACAATGCAGCTGCCCCCTCTGCAAGTTAAAATCCAGGCCGACTTGCAGACGTCCAAGGGAAGTCACCATCCAGCAGCTACAGGCAGGGCTGGGTGCTAGGCAGTATGGGAGGAGGACACGCTCAGATGAAGACACGCATGCAATGATTTTCAGCACTGAACACACTTTTCTGTCATAGACACACACGGCCCTGCTGGGGGACAGGATATTCATGGCCTCAGCTGCCAACGTGATGGTGCTAGGGCAGTCTGTCTGTTCATGATGCTCCTTTGTTCCCTGCTAAAGAAGGACCATCAGGTAAAAGGCACCTTACCTTATGCAGTGAGCCCAGGCCCCAGGGAAAAGCTCGGTTAGAATAATCCGAGGGGCAGCCTGGGTGTGAGAATCCAGCCCAAGTAGCTGCTCTAGAAGCCTGGAGACCTTTCCCAGCTTCCCAAATGTAGCCCTTTTCACGTGACCAATCCTTCTTCAATTACGTTGCCTTTCTCTGTTTGCCCTCCTTTGTGGCTGCAGGGGAAAGGATAATTATCCCTGACCACAGGACTCAGTTTTCACTAGAAAAGACTTCCTCGTGTTGGCCACAGCGGGAATTCTGCACACAGGAGCCTGCTCCACCAAGCGGAGCACGCAGGAGGTTGTTCAAGGACAAGGAGAGCCGGCTGGACCTCTGCAAGGAGGTGAGGCCCCTGCCCGCTTCTCGCCTCATCACATTCTGGATACTTGGCAACACCAGCCTCCTGGGAGGGGAGAAGTACTGAAAAAGAGGCCAAAAACCACACAGAAAGAAGACAGAAAACTCCGCACACTTCCTACATAGGTACTACTGTATCCTGTGAGCACGGGGCCTGTGTTAAAGACACCCTCGGGAAGTTACAGAAGGAAGCCACCCAGAGTTCAGCCTCAGCCTCTTTCTCAGGCGCGGTCACCGCTTTACCAAACCTGGCACATCCAGCCTCTCCTTTCCTAATTCTACACCGGTTTGTGGCCTGGCAGACAGATAGTTTGTCTTTCTAATTTCAGCGATTCTAAATGTGTTTTAAGAAACTGCTCAGCCCTCTTAGCACTCAGGGCTTCTGTCTTTAAAAATATGATTAAACCACCAGATAGTGTGATTCAAAGTGTGTGTGGCTTCTAAAACCTTCTAACTACAAATTCTATGAGCGACTCCTGTCTCCTGTGGCTGAGCGTGGGAACTGGCTGTCTTTCCCCATGCCTTGCATCCCCTGTTAGAGGGGAGTCTCCCCTGCTGTCCGTGGCTGTCCATGCACTTTAAAATGCCTCAGGTATAGCTGAAGGCCAGATGGGTCCAAGTTTATTTCTATCTGCTTACATAAGAATAATGGCTAAATTATCTCTTTAACTTTTTTTTTTTTTGAGACAGAGTCTACCTGTGATGCTCAGGCTAGAGTGCAATGGTATGGTCTAGGCTCACTGCAACCTCTGTTTCCTGGGTTCAAGTGATTCTCCTGCCTCAGCCTCCTGAGTAGCTGGACTACAGGTGCGTGAAACCAGGCCCAGCTAATTGTTGTATTTTTAGTAGAAATGGGGTTTCACCATATTGGCCAGGCTGGTCTTGAACTCCTGACCTCAAGTGATCCCGCCGCCTTGGCCTCCCAAAGTACTGGGATGTCTCTTTAACTTTCAAGAGCTACAGCAAAACTGATATCAATGGGTGATGACTGGTATAAGATCAAACATTAAGTCAAGGATTAGTTAAGACCAGAAAAGAATTCTCTAGTCTTGTATCTTCAACCCAAACTCACATTCCAAAAGACCTATTTGTGGTGAGGCTCAGCGTCTTTGGCTTGTTATGAATTAACTCTTTCTATGAATTAACACTGTCCCTAGATGCCGGGGAACAGGCCTCCTGCCTCCTCAGTGAGATGCTGGGGGACAGACCTCTTGCCCCTGCTATGCAGCCTCCATGCAGAGGCTTATTTACCAGTCACCAGGTCTTCAAGACAGTCTGCAGCAGACAGGATTTCAGGGGGGAAAGTAAACCAAGCCAATCCCTTCAAATGGTCCCCTGTTATCACAAACATATGTCTTCCATTTCATAACAGAGACGGCAAAAGCAGTATCCAGGCTTTTTTTTTTTCCTTTCCCGAACTGGCTACATGCTTAGGAACTGCACGGGTCAAACCTGATTTTCTTTTTAAAGGCTCAAAACACTTTTATTGTTAGGAAAGCTTTTCAGTGGCCAAGGATCAGTCTCATGGGCTGTCAGAGCCACGCTGTAGAAGCAGCCAAATTCCTCCGCCTTTACCTTCCCTTCAGGAGTCACATGCTAAGGTGTCCTTGAGCATCTGGAAAAGGCTGCTTGGGGTGAGAATGCTCTTGGCCACCCTGCAATGCCCCTGGACCTGCTGAGTAACAAATATACCCCAGGATCCAGAGAAGGGGAAAGACATGAAAGGGATTTGGAAACAGATTGTAAAAATAACCTGTATGAAAATCATGCAGACAAAAAAACCGAACAAATCTACTTAGCCCCTTTGACCCTGACATCTGCCTTTTCTCCTGGGATGGCCTTTGCTTTGCGGAGTATGAGTCCTGGGACAGGCTTTGGGTGACAAGTCACGGGCATGTTCCATCCAAGGCTGGCTCTCCTGACTGGCAGAAGGAGGTGGCTGACAATCAATTCCTCTGGGTACATTTTCCTGTGATTGCTCCTGTGATCAAAGGCAGCCACCAACAGGTATGGGAGTGGTTAGTTCACCACGTCATAGTAGTAATTGCGTAGCCGCAGTTCCACCGCTGCGAATCCGGGCCTGTTCTCCACACTGGAAAGGGAAGAGATGCATTATTGTTTGTCAATGTGCTTGTGAAAAAATGCCCATCACAAGCGGGCCCTCTGCAGGCAGAGTAGCAGTAGTGCCACTCCCTGGTGGCTGACTCTAGGGTCTGCAGCTCACAGTGTGGTCCCCGTGTCCCCCACCCCAGGGTGACCAGAAGGCTGTCAGAAATACAGTGTCAGCCCACTGCAGACCTACAGAACCCATATCTGCATTTTAACAAGACCTCCAGTGATTCATGTCCACCTTAAAGTCGAAGACATATTGCATTAGAACTAGCAGTCTTTTAGCTCCAGGTTCAGAGGCTGTCGCTTTGTGATTTTAGCACACAGGTGTCTGAAAATACTTGGCAAATGTACTGCAGATACAGTCAACATTTGACCATAATCTTGTTAAGAGTAGAAATATAAACACAGCTTTAATTCTCCCTTTCCAAGCTCTAATTGATGGCTCTGGATTTTGTGAAAAATGGCTGTTGATATGGGTTCTTATTAAAACTCAAAACATGTCAGGGCAGAAGCAAAGACCCAGGGCTTGTGTATGATCCACCTTAATAGAGCCAGGTCTTACTGCCACTGCTGGCCAGGGAGGCACTGATGTCAGTGAACTACAGGCAGAAGCATTAACAATTTGCAGTCTCTAAACAAACACTTACAGACACTTCTGTTTTCTCTTACACAGACGTCGTGCACAGATCAGTTAGAAGCAAATATTAAAACCCTGATAATCTATCCTCACTTAGAATTTATTTTTCTGATTTTGCAAGATTTCTGGATATATTGCAAGTGGATGAAGTTGAAATACAGCAAGTGAAAGAGTGAAACAGAATGTGCGGTTAAATTGTATGAAACCATCCACATTCAACCATTTTGACCTATGTCAATGGCAATTTTGTATGGTTCAATGTCAACACAGGAGAACAGCCCTAGAACGTGCATCAGGACCAAGAAGCACTCATCATTATAAGAGCAGAGTGGCTTCTACAAATTGTCAAATGGCATCAAAACACATGGTTTTCCCTATAGCTTTCAATAGCAAGCAAAACGATAAAACTGCTCAAGTTGATCAGTGTGATCAGCCATCTGTGGTGATGTCTGGGACACAGGCCTCCCAGGGTGTCACTGAGAGGGGCCTTGTCTCTTGCCACCAAGTGTGTTCCAGGAGGGGATATGGTGGCCAACACTATGGTACAGGAGCATGCAGAGAAACTTGCATCCACCCAGAGGGACAGCCTCTGTCTTGCTCCTAAATGTCTACAAAGAGAATGTACTTTAGCAACTTTGCAAAACAGGGGGCCCTGCTCCAACTTTGGGGATCCAAATGACACAAAGTGCACCTTTGGATCTCGCTCTGGGGGTTCACCTGCCCAGCAGCCACGCAGCAAACAAACACAAGGGAACAGGAATACAGACTCATCCTCAGGAAAAACACCTGGTCAGGTCTCCTAGGAAATCTCTCCTGTACATCCATGGGAGACGCTGCCTCCAGGAAGCTGGTACACAGCTGTGCTTCGGCAGCAGGAGGGTAATGCAGTGCCCTTGCATGCCCAGCTTCCTGCCCTGCTCTGGTCTGCCGTTCTGCTTTCAGGCCGGAGTGCAGTTTCTGCTCTGCCCCTCGCGCCCAGCGACCCTCCTCTTCCCCCCTCATCCCTATACACAGTCTCACTTCTTGGCCTGCAGGTCTCAGCTGCAATCCCTCAAGGTGGCCTATCTGGAGCCCCTGTTGGAAGTGTGACCCTCCCTTCCCCATAATTCTCTGTTCTTCTTTAAAGTTCCCAGTGTGTGATTTTATATAAAATATATGGTCTTCATCCTGGGTTCCTGGCACAGAGTTCCTAAAACCCTTGGGATTTCCTGAGTGTCAGGCTGAAAGCAACATCTTTTGTTACTCATAATAGCCCCCTTCCATACCTGGGTTTGTGCTAATGAGACTACTTCTCTCCCTCCCTCCCACTCTCTCTGTCTGTCTCTACATATCACCTTGGAGAAGGTGGCTGTTTACAACTGAGGAAAAAATGAAAAAACAAAGCAAAACAAAACAGAGAATATACTGGGACCACCTGTAGTCCCCTTGTTGAATCCACGCTTTCTAGAAGCTCCAATACGCTTTTGTGCCACAGGCAACTGAGAAACTACTTCAACACAAGGGGGCTTTAAAAACCCCACACTTACGTGTGATATCCTCCATGCCCCGGTGCCCTCCTTGCTTTGAATTCCCACTGGAATCGTCCCTTTCCTAAGACACACCATAGGACACACTTCTTTTTAGCTTGTTGTTTATCGCCTGACTGCCCCAGCCCCAACTATAAGGTCTGATAAGGACAGGGTGTGAAGCGTCTGTGAGGCTTGCACGTGAGGTGACAGCATGCACAGCAGGGGCTCCGGCCATGGCCACAGACCCTGTAAATGACCCAGTGCTCTCAGAGGACGTGCGGCTCAGAGGAAAGCCTTGGGGCTGAGGCTCTGCAGGAAGCTAGGGCAGATCTCACCAAAGTCCTGAGAATTCATGCTATATCTTGGGTTTATTAATCTTTCAACAGGAATTTGAGCCACATCTAGATCCTCCCTGACTCTCAGAGAACCTTGAGAGCCCAGGAGTTTTCTCCATTGGGCAGAGGCCCCACTGGAGGGTCAGGACTGTTAGGAGACTGTGTTTTAGGATCAAGAGCACCAACTTCTTTCCATTTGCAAGGCCTTTTCCCACTGATGTCTTTAATCACCTTGAGCATAACTTGGCTCTGGAAAACACTACAATGGAAGACTCCCTGATTGATTTACTGCTTTCCTTAGGGCCAGTGTTTCCTGCCTGGCTTTCACGCTGCCTCCTTGAGTGACCTGCACAGGGCAGAACTCTAATGCCGTCTTTCCCTTTTGCAAAGCAAGAGGGTGAAGGAATGAAGCCTGTGCCATTCCCAAATATGCCAGATTGGTATACTGATTATTTTGAGTTGAAAATATTGGATAAATTGTAGTTTCAGAAAGGACGAGCTGATCTGTCTCTTTGTGACTGCAGCAAACCATAAAGATTCCTCTGGAAAGGAGACCCCATACCAGGATGAGAAAATGGCCCTTATCATCAGAGGCTGGGCACTGGAGCTGCAATGGGCCTTAGTAAACTTATTTAAGAAAGTTAAATAAGTTTATCTTCCACTGGTTTTACACCCTCCTCATATCTCCTAGGGACTTCTGTAGAAAATCTACTACTCCTTCTAGTCAGATTTCCTTTGTCCTGTCACTTGTTCTTAAATGGGTTCCGTCATTGAGGCTGGGAAGTAGCCTCAAAAACCCTTTGAATTCCCTCCAGGACCACACCCTAGAATTGATGACAAGTCCTGCAGTGGGGGACCCCCTGCACCTTCTGGGAGGCCTTAGGCAATAGCCCAGGTTACCAGGACCAGCCCCTGGTGATTCTGAGTTCTCCTTGTGGCCCCGCTCCAAGGAATCTTTTCCTTTTATTCATTCAGCTGCACCTCATTGAATTTCTTATGTTTAGACAAAGTGATACAGGAGCTAGAAAGAAATTATTTAGGCAGAGAGTGAGGGTAACAGAGTCCTTGGTATGGTTTCCTTTTAATGAAAAACAGCCCCCAAATCATGTTTTTTTCTAACAAAAAATAGCCTGAAAAATCAAGCTGCAAGCATAGATAAGCAAGCTAAAAGCTTGTATAGGTAAATCTCAGCAGCTATGCCAATAGAAAAGGGATACTTGGAAGCCAGGGAAATTCAACATGGAGGTTCCCATTCCATTTTCCTTGTTGCCCATGTGCAATAAAAAAGCAGGCAACACGGCTCCAGCCAAGTAGAGACACTGCCTGCATAATAAAAGATTAGGGTGGGGCGGTCAGTTTCTTTGCGTGTTGTGTAAATGACACACGTGGTCCAACCAATCTTTGGGACCTATGTAAATCAGACCCAAGCTCCTCTATAAAACCCTGTGCATTTCAACATGGAACCGAAGAACCACGTGGGGGCCCCTACCCTCTGTAGAAGAGAGAGTTTCCTCTTTTCTCTTGCCTATTAAACCTCTGCTCTTAAACTCACTTCTTGTGTGTCTGCATCTTCCGTTTCCTTGGCGTGAGGCAATGAATTCAGGTACTACCCCAGGCAAATGCTGCTGCTTCAAAAGTCTCTGAATATCTCCCCACCTCCCGCAACCCTGTTGGAGGTCACTACTAGAAACACAGTAACCTTCAGAAATATAGCTTTGTTGGCAAATAAATCACAGTCTGCTGAAGAGCTGTGATTTCTAATCTGGGGCATAGGCCATCATCATGATTTCCTTTTGACCTGGGGCTTGCGCCCTGTTGCTGACTCCTCCAAGCCTGCAGAACTCACTGAAATGCACCCCTGCAGCATGAACTGGGGTGGGAACCGACGGGAAAGACATTGCTTGCCTGTGAACCTCATTCAGGTTCCATCTTAAATCTCCAGGCTGGAAAATACATTTTGAAAGAATGCTCTCTTAAGGAGACTCTTCTACTGCTCTACTTTGCTATAATTCTGGTGAATATCCAGTGAATATCACAGGAGACTGCTTTCCCTCCCCGTTCTCCCCCTGGTGGACCATTCTGGAAATAACAGGGATGTGCGTCCATGGAGGACAGAGGTGGGCCCAGCAGCCCCCATCCTGATTCCCTGAGTCTCAAGAATGCACCACAGCTCAAAGGGTATTCAGCGGCCTCACCGCACCCCCCTGGGAGCCAAGTGGGAGGTGGTTCCCCTGGCTGCGCCAGCACCCAGCCCTCTCCCCTGCCACCCTTCACGCCTCACTGTTAAACACACACCACAAAGCAGAGTAATAGAAATAAATAGATCAGCATCAACATTAAATGTAAAACCTCTCCTCCAGCGAGTTCATTTTTAATTTCAAGTTTTTGCATTTGCATCACAATGATTTAATCTCTGTCCTCCTCACCCTCTACAGGAAGGGAAGCCTTGTAAAGGGAGCCGCAGGGAGGACCAAAGTACACTAGCAGTAAAGGGTCAAAGGCCGCCATGTGCCCGAGGGCTGCCCTCCCCAGGTCCAGTACTGCCAATGCCTACCTGCCAATGGTTCTGACGATTCTAGTTTGGGCACTGGGAGAATTAAGCCAAGACTTAGGAATAAACATCACCCTAAATCCGTGAAGAACATTCCCCTCTTGCTGACACTTTGCTGTCCCTGTAGCACTCACACTTGGGGCTCGAGACAATGCCAGGGGGCTGAGGCCAGGCCCCTCTCCTGAGCCACGGCAGCAGCAGGGGCAGGAGAGCATCTGCCCACAGTTTGCCCGCTGCCTTTGTGGCTGCCCCCTGGGTGGTTTCTAGATAGAGATTCTTTCCCTGCCACTCACAATTGTGGTAGAGTGATACTCCCAGCGTGGGGAGGGTTGGTCTCAGAATCCCAGGTGGTATCTGCAGCATTTGGAATAGCCCTCAGCTTTCAGAGGCTCTGGCAATGTCACCTGTATCTGAGGGCAAACCTGATTTCACAAAACATCAAATCCATGGCCAGGATTTGTGATGTCCTCCTGATCACAGGCCACATCAATTCTAAGCTGCATGGGCTCTCTGTGTGCACAGTTCGGTACCAGGGAGCCGGAGGCGGCGGCTTGGGGTGACCGTGCTACACACGCACAGGCGGGCTGCTGAGCCTGGGAAAGCTGTACTCCTAATTTTCAGGGTCAATGCGCTTTCCTTCCCTGCTGAGCTGCCCTGAACATCACCTGAGCACTTTCACTTCAAGGACTGGGTAGATTCTAGGGAAGTGCAACCTTAGCCAATCCATCTGTGAGCTGTACAGAGTCCAAGGTCGCGCCTCACTGCTTATGGCAATCAAAAAGTCAGGAAAGTATAACATCTCCTACCGAGTACTTCTGCCATCCTCTCTGCCAAAAATGGTATCCAGCCCCAACCTCTTACAAACACCTTTTTACTTTGACTGCCCTTGCCCCATCTCCCCGCCTTACCGACATTTACATTTGGACACTTGGGTAGGAGTCCCCATCTAGACTTGGCTGTTTAGGCTCTACCAGATGTTAAGTGCATGGGCCAGAGAGCAAGGTCTCTTAAAGCAGGACCAGGCCCCACCACTGTTTGTTTAGCAAAGGGGCACATTACTGATTCATGAAAAGATGAACTTTATGCTTCTTTTAGATGCCCAGCCATTTCACCTGTCTCCAGAGCATTTGAATACATCACAGACAGTGTCAGGTACTCACTCGTATGTCCAGCACAGGTTCATGAGATCGTACATCTCTCTTGGACACCCTGCAGGGCATCCCATCCGCTCTCCTTTCTCTAACATAGCGGTGACTTCACTTCCTTTCATTCCCTACAACATGCAAGATACACATAAGCTTTTCGTTTTGTTTTTTTTGTTTTTTAAAGTGTTAGCCAAACAAAACACAACAGCCACTCCAAGACATGCAGAAGTACACGTTGTATGATTTCAATTCCATAGAATACAAAAACAGGAGCACTTCATCTGCGGCGTGTGCAGAGGAAACAGGGCTTTGGGGTTCTGTTCTTCATCTGGGGGCTGATTTCATAGGTATGTTTCATTTACGGAAAACCACTGTGCCTCATCCTAAGAGTTGTGCCCTTTATGGTACATATGTTTTAATTAAAATATCAAAAAAACATTGTAAATAGTCATTATTTCTACTTCAACTCTAATGAGTAATGATCTGGGTCTATATTTGTGTTCATTTACATGCATTAACACACAATGGAAAAACACACTCTTCAGTAAGCATCAGATATTTTGTTCTCAGTTTAGGATAGATGGAGGGCACATATCTCTTACCACTGCTTACTGGTAAGAGATAATGAGAGGCTCAGAGAGGTGCTCAGATTTTAGGATTTTCAGGTTCCTGTAAAGACAACCTGGTGCTTATCTGTTCTAATGGCCACCTAGTGAGAAAATGAAGCAGGGGCGACTTACGCGATACGGCTTCTGCCCATAGGAAAATGCTTCCCACATCAACACTCCAAAGCTCCAGACGTCGCTTTTGCTGGAGAACTTGTAGTAGTTGATACACTCCGGAGCGTACCACTTGACAGGCCACTTCCCATGGGTCTGGGCCTAAAAGCGAAGCAGAGGGAGAAGTTCCATTAAGAATAAAATTGTGGGTGGGGCGTAGTGGCTCCTGCCTGTAATCCCAGCACTTTGGGAGGCAGAGGAGAGCAGATCACTCGAGGTCAAGAGTTCAACACCAGCCTGTCCAACATGGTGAAGCCCTGTCTTTACTGAAAATACAAAAATTAGCCAGGTGTGATAACGGGTGCCTGTAATCCCAGCTACTCAGGAGGCTGAGGCAGGAGAATCGCTTGAACCCAGGAGGCAGAGGTTGCAGTGAGCTGAGATCGCACCACTGCACTGCAGCCTACGTGACAGAAGGAGAGACTCCAGCTCAAAAAACAAACCAAAAGAATAAACTTGTGTACACTCACGTTCACAGCAGCATCATTCCCAATAGCAAAAACATGGAAACAACCCAAGTGTCCTTCAGCACATGAATGGATAAACAAAACACCATCTATATAGACAATGGAATAGTATTCAGCCTTAAAAAGGAAGGGACTTCACTACAATATGGAAGAGCCTGGAGGACATTATGCTGAGTGAAATTGAGACATGAGAATAGGGCCTGGAGGCGGGGAACCTAAGGACTTCCTAGAATTAAGTCAAATGGTAACACTCGAGCTATGACGGGAAATACCCTCTTTATTTACACAAGGTGTACACCGAGTATACACAAGGGGTAAATGACTTTGTAACATTAATTCATCCTCTTCATTTACATAGTGTGTACACCAAATAACCAATGAAAAGCTCTGGAGGGTATTTAAACCCCAGAAAATTCTGTAACCGGGCTCTTGAGCCCCTATGCTTGGCCCGCTCCACCCTGTGGAGTGCACTTTTGTTTTCAGTCAATCCCTGCTTTTGTGGCTTCATTGTTTCCTTGCTTTGTTTGTGCATTTCATCCAATTCTTTGTTCAAGACGCCAAGAAGCTGCACACCCTCCACTGGTAACAAAATAAGCCAGTCACCAAAGGACAAATGCTGTATGGTTCTGGTGAGGAACCAAGAGTAGTTAAATTCATACAGACAGAAAGTAGAATGCTGGTTGCCAGAGACTAGAGGGGAGGGGAGAATGGGGAGTTAGTGTTTGATGGGGACAGAGTCTCAGTTTTGGAAGATGAAAAGAGTTCTGAATATTGGTTGTCCAACATGAACGTACTTAGCACTGCCAAACTGTACACATAAAAATGATTAGGCTGGTAAATTTTATGTTACATGTATTTTATCACAATTTTAACAAAGAATAAAATCCTGACCCACAAAATGCTGTGTGTGTGTGTGTGTGTGTGTGGTTAGTTTGAATTTTAAAGATTTTATTAAATCTTAAAAGCTTTAAAATTCTTTTTAAAAATTTGAATATATACATATGTGTGTGTGTATCTGTATGTGTGTGTATATATATATATATATATTTTTTGAAGATTCAGGATAAAATCTTGCATCTTTTAGTCTACTCTCGTCGCTTTTTATGACCACACATAGCTTCATGGAGCATGTAGATGGCAATAGACAAATCAAGCCTGAATATTACTTTATGGTTTTGCTCTAAGAAATACTGGGCTGTTCATAAGTATATTTAAGTACTATTGTGCATTTGTCCACAGTTTTAAGCCAATGCCAATTATTTCATTTTTTTGTTTTTTTTTACATTGATTCCAAATATCTTACATATTTATAGGGTACATGTATTTACTACATGCATGGAATGTGTAATGATCAAGTCAGGGTACTTGGGGTGTCCGTCGCCTTGAGTACTTATAATTTCTATGTGTTGGGAGCATTTCAAGCCCTTTCTTCTAGCAACTTTCAAATATACAATATAATGTTGCAAACTATAGCCACCCCACCTCACTATCAAATGTTGGAGTTCATTTGTTCTGTCTAATGGCACGTTTGTACCCATTAACCAACCTCTTTCATCCCCACTCTCACCCACACACCCTTCCTAGCCTCTGGTATCTATCATTCTATTTTCTATCTCCATGAGATCGAGATCTCTCTCTCTCTCTCTCTCTCTCTCTCTCTCTCTTTTTAGCTTCCACACATCAGCAAGAACACGTGGCATCTGTCTTTTCTGTACTTGGCTTATGCCATCTAATATAATGACCTCTAGTTCCATCCATGTTACAGTAAATGACATAATTTCATTCTTTTTCCAGCCAAATAGAATTCCATTGTGTGTGTGTGTGTGTGTGTGTGTGTGTGTGTGTATATATATATATATATATATGCCACATTTTCTTAATCCACTCACCCATTGATGGACACTTAGCTTGATTCCACAACTTTGCTGTTGTGAACAGTCTATGACAAGCATGTGAGTGTATGTATCCCTTTGATACACAAGTTTATTTCCTTTGCATAAATACCCACTAGCAGAATTGTTGGATCACACAGTAGGTCTATGTATAGTTTGTTTTTATTTTGAGAAGTCTCTCTACTATTTTCCACAGTGACTATACTAATTTACATTCCCACAAACAGTATATAAGAGTTCCCTTTTCTCTGCATCCTTGCCAGCACCTGTTATTATTTTTTTATCGTTTTAGTAATAGCCATCCTAGCTGGGGTAAGATATCTCATTGTGTTTGTAAATTGCACTTCCCTGATGTTTGGTGATACTGAGCATTTCTTCATATGCCTGTTGGCCATCTGTATGCTGATTATACCTCTGTTTCTATCACCTTGTGCTGCACTATTTTAAAATTTTGATCTTACAAGTCATGAACGATATAGCCATGTGTGTTATTTCAAGTTTCTTCTGAATCTTGAGCTGATGAAAAAAGTAAATCTTTGACAAATCCTAAATGCAATGGAAGTTAGCCTCTCTCTGGAATAAGCTAACACGTCTCCTCTCAAGGGTGGTTCTATCTATCCCATCCTTCGAAGCTGGCAGGCTGTGGCTGCTCTGACCAATAGGATCAGGCGGAAGTGACCCTGAGGCAGTTTCTGGGCTTCCCCTTATAGGCCTGGCAGTCCCCACTTCCTGTCTCTTGGGTAACTGCTCTCAGGCTACAACTGCCATGCTGTGAGGAAGCCCAGGGACCCCAAGGAGAGGCTGTGTGTAGGTGAGCTGACAGCCCTGCAGAGGTCCCCAGCATGGGCCACGTCTAACCAGCTGCTCAGTGGCTGAGTAGTGTGAGTGAGCAGAGTGAAAATGGTCCTCTTGCCCTTTGCGCCACCGTACAAGCCCCTGTGTGAGCAGGTGCACCAAGCTCTGCCCACCTGGCCCTGCCCATACAGCAGGACTGCAAGGAAACCAACACCTGGTGGTGTTTTAGGCGCTAAGTTTGGGGTGGTTTGTTATGCAGCAGTGGATAAGGGGACCAGCATTCATGTTTCATTTTTTCTATCTCCTCTGTGTCCTTGTTTCAGACAGGCTGTCTTCTCTCTAATGATCATGATGAGGTCACGATGAGGTACACCCAGCGTTGCAATAGGCTTCTTTCTCCAGCATGTCCCGTGCGGCTCATCCTAGGCTGCTGTCTCCTTTGCTCCGTTTTCCTGTTGTCTCTATCCAGGCCCCTGCTGATGCCCTTCTCACAGTGGCTCACCTCTGAAGGGGCTTCCCTCTGGGAAGCTACTGCATGAAGAATGGGGTGAGGAGGGCCAGCCTGAGCCCTGCTGTTCTCCCGCCTGGCCTTTGTGCTCAAGACAATGGCGTCCGCCTGCCTGCCTGGAAGCTCAGCTCTTGTGACTCACCCTTCATGCAGTCCCTTTGCTGGCTGAGGTCCACCATTCCCCACCACCCACCGGTTCATGAACTGCCTCTCAGGGAAAGGTGAGTGGGCGAGTATTGTCACTCAGGGTGGGGTCTGTGACCACTGCAGGGTATGAAACTCAGGACCCCATCTGCCATCCACTAGGTAGATTTTCAGGGTCAGCCATCTATTTCTGAGCACGTGGACTTCACCAGAGACCAGAAGAGTTGTCAGCCTGCCCTCGGCTCCCTCTTTGACTCAGTGGGTCCCAATTCCATCACATTTTCCAGTTGGTCAACATAAACCCTATATATATACCATGGATGAGTTAATATGAAGATGAAGCTTTTTAATTTTGTCTATTAGTTGTTATTGGTTCCTTTGAGGGTTCAGAGAGGGGTCAAGTCATATCAGCAAGGGGATTGGTCACTGTGAAATTATTTTTTAGGAAGTCCAAACCTATACCCAGAACTAGTTTCCACTTCATGTTTTGCTGGAAGTCCATCTTTAATTCTTGATAATCTCTGCCTCACCAAACTAAGGGGCATATTTCTTTCAGCTTCAGTCACGTAACTCTCTAGATCTCTTCTTTCCAGCACTGCATTTGTTTTTTGACACTTCAATTCTTCTGGGTACCAACTAAGACAATAGAACAATTTCAACATACTTAGTGGACATACACAGATGATGAGCGTATTTGATAAATTTTCACTTTCTAACTTTTACATGTATAGAGAGGTGTTCATTAGAAGGTTCTTTTGGAATCACTCCAAGCTGCCTGCCCTGGAACGGTGTTCCACCAGATGTTATGAAATGTCCTATCAGAAAAGGATGCCGTGGATGAATCTGGTTTGAGAGACGCAGTGTGGCAAAACCCTCCGCTGGGATTCGCCATGTTTAGCAGCGTGAAAAGGGCTTGGGGGAATCCTGCAAGAATCAAACTGTCCAATGCAAACCTTTCAAACGAACTTAATGAAGGAATCCCATTCTTCTTTCTTTCCAAAATGAATCATCACTTAATACCTTGATTCCTGATCACTCCATGAAACATAATTTAGAATATACTACTCTGAGCAAATCTCAAGGTGTCATATATTAAAGTACTTTTATTTTTTAAACAATAAAATCAAAGATTATAAGAACATTTCTTAGTTATTTTTAAGTAGCAAAACTGCTTTTTGAAACTGTATCAATAACAAAACAAACATATATGTATCTTGTATTTTCTACCGCCCGCTGCTCTGAATATTAGCTAAGTTGTGCTCACCTTGTAGTAGCTTTCGTCAGCACGCAGTGCTTTGGAAAGTCCAAAATCACTGATCTTGGCATAATGCTGAGTAACCAGCAACACATTTCTTGCAGCCAGATCTCTGTGCACAAAATTGCACTCCTCCAAATACTTCATGCCCATAGAAACCTGATGAACCAGTTCTATGATGTTCTTATCCTTGACATGTCTGAAAGTCACAACAATATCATCAGCTATAGGAGACAGTGACCCATTTCACAACAAACAACCATGCCCCTCGCGAAGGCAGTAGGTGAATCTATTGCTTCTAACAATAAAACTCACAAGTGGTGACGAATCACTTTATCAGCATATAGCTGTTCAGGACCGAATGTCATTCTCCTGGTGTTCAGTGGGATAGAGTTTCCTGGCATGTTTGGAATTGCAAGGAAAGCAGTATAACAGGGTGGTCGGACCTGGCTCACAGACAGCCAGGCACACCTCAAATCCTTGTTCCACTATGCACAGCTCACAGAACGAACCCTGCGCCTCGGTTTCTCACCTACGAGGTAAGGGTAAGAACACCTCCCTTCCGCAGAGACTAAAGAGGCAATCTAAGCAGAAACGTAGTGCAGCAAAGAAGGCAAGCTCCTTGGTGGTTATTATTCTGTTTTACTCCAAGTGAGTTTCCCCATCTCAACACAGCTTTAGATGAGAAGAACACGATTACTGCCTTGACGGATGTAATCAATTAGCAGCGATTGGTATTTTCAGAAGTCATTACTCATTGAGAACATAAGGTCAGCCAAACAGATAAGACATAACTGTCACCTCTTAGAAAAACGTTTATTTTAAATGTTTCTTTAAAAAGAAAGTGTTCTTCCCAGTGAGAAAGGAGATTCGTCGTCAGGATATGATTCTAAGGCGGAGTCTATCCCTGCGCCAAGGCTGAATGAGCACAGGAAAAAAAGAAAGGCAAAAGTCTCGAATGAATTCTTCTCTGAACGACTAGAGCTAACAGAGCTGATGCCAAAGACTGTGCCTCCGTCTGTCCCTCTGTCAAGGAACCTGAGTGTGGACCAATAAGGGAAGGCACAGGAGGGTGGGAAGTCTCCCTGAGGAAATCAGGCTGCTTGGCCCACCCAGTCATGCGCCCCGCCCCTCGGGGGATAGATCCCAGGCCCGTGGGGGCACGCGACAATACCTGTTCTGCTGCAAATACTTATTGAGGGGACCGAGTTCCGCCATCTCCATGACCAACATCCAGGACTCGGCCTCGCATATCCCGATCATGCGCACGATGTACGGGTTGTCCAGCTGCTGCATGACATTTGCTTCTGCTAATAACTCATCTTTAAGAGCGGGGTCATTGGCCTCATTTTTCAGTATTTTCACAGCCACTGTTTTCACAACTCTGCAGGAGAAATCGTAACGCTCAAATCATTAATCAAAATGCCTCACTTCTAGATGATCTTCTTTTATGAAGCATAATCCCCACGCAGAAACAGTCCCATGGAAATACCTGCCACAGAGTGGAAATGTGTCTTCAGAAGTTTGTAATGAATGGCCGGCCTTCCAATTACCCTCACTTATTTTATAGACAATGAGAGTAATACCCCATTACTAAAAATGAATGGTGGGGGCTGGGGCTGGGCATGGTGGCTCATGCTGATAATCCTAACACTTTCAGAGGTTGAATGGGGAGGATTGCTTGAGGCCAGGAGTTCAAGATCAGCCTGGGCAACATAGTGATACCCCATCTCTAAAAAAAGTCAGCCAGGCGTGACAGTGCAAGCCTGCAGTCCCAGCTGCTTGGGAGGCTGAGGTGGGAGAGTCACTCGGACTCAGGAGTTCGAGGCTGCAGTGCGCTTCACTCCAGCCTGGGTGGCAGAGTGAATCCTGTTTCTAAAAAAATAAAATAAAATAAAAAGAATGGTGAAGAACAGTACTGAAGAATGCCCCAACCAAGCAAAAACCCTAAATTGTAAAATATTTAAATAACTTGTAAATAAACCTCACCAACAGTGACATACATGAATTCCTGTGACATCTTGTGATTCACCATCTCAGATTATGTGTAATGAATAGGTGGATATAAAATGCCTTTAGTAAATGTTGAAAGTGAATTTCTAGTTGCAGAATTTAAAAGCATACATATAAATGCAATACATTGAAAAGGTAAACAACTCTCCTGAGAGAAACCTGAGAGGGGTTAAAGAAGACCTAGTAAATGGAGGGATGAGCTGTGTTTATAGCTTGAAAGACTCGACATTGTAAAGACATCATTTTGCCCCAAATTAACCAAGAGAGCCTCTCCTCCCCCCAAACTAAGTGAAATTATGTCCACACTCCTGTCTCTGTTAATTCACAAATTTAAGCAGACAATTAAAGATCACAATATTTCATAAACTGAAAAAGCTTATGATTAATATAGAAACATTTTTAATCATTGTACAAAATGACCGTGATATATGAACATATTTTAAAATAAGTATCACAACCAATTTTGTGTGTATATATATGTGCTCCTATATAGACTTGTGAATGTATACATATCCATGTGTGTATATATACATGTGTGTATTATATATGTATACACATACATATGCACAAAAACAAATGGAAGGGACAGATTGGAAAGCAAGCATTTCTTTGTTCTTTCTTTCTTTCTTTTTTTTTTTTTTTTGAGATGGAGTTTCACTCTGTTGCCCAGGCGCCATCTTGGTTCAGTGCAACCTCCTCCTCCTGGGTTCAAGCGATTCTCCTGCCTCAGCCTCCTGAGTAGCTGGGATTACAGGCATGCACCACTACGCCCAGCTAATTTTTGTATTTTTAGTACAGATGGGGTTTCACCATGTTGGCCATGCTGGTCTCAAACTCCTGACCTCAGGTGATCCACCTGCCTCATCCTCCCAAAGTGCTGGTATTGCAGGCATGAAAGCAAGCATTTCTGTGTATATTTTTGTCTATATTTTTAACCCTTGAATCATATAAATGACCTACTCATGAGATTTTTTTTAAAACAAATTCCTTAAATTTGAAATAGCATGAAACAACTACATTCAACCACATTCATATTAGTATCATACCAATTCAAAGAGAGGGTGTGTTTCAAAGGACTTTAGAAACCAGTATTTTTATTCTATGCCAGATACCTTCCAAAGACCAAAAGAAATACAAAGACATTTTATAAATTTAGCAATTTTAACTGTTATATAATATGTATTGTTATTTGAAATCATAGGACATAGCCAATAAACAATTATGCTAATCATATCTGGAACCAATAATTTTCTCAGTAAGAAAAATGAGACATAACTATAAAATCAAACAAAATAAATGTAAACACTGCATTGTTTTATAACAATCATTTTATTTCAGTTGATTGAAATAAAATCAATAGAATGATTTTTTTTAATTAAATAATATGTATGTGTGTGTACAAATAAAGCTCTAAAAATGTATACCATAAGGTTAGTTAACAGCAGTAGTGTTTAATTAACAGCAGTGTTGGTGTGGTATTATCCAAATGTGATGCTGTTCTTTTCTTTCTTTTTTTTTTCTTTTTTTTTTTGGTTCGTTTTTTGAGACAGGGCCTTGCTTTGTCACCCAGCCTGGAGTGCAGTGGTGCAATCATGGCTCACTGCAGCCTTGACCTCTTGGCCTCTTGAGTAGCTGGAGCTATAGGTGTGCACTACCATGCTTGGCTAATTTTTGAAAGCTTTTTGTAGAGACAAGGTTTTGCTATGTTGCCCAGGCCGGTCTCAAACTCCTTGCCTCAAATAATCCTTCTACCCCAGCCTCCCAAAGTGCTAAGATTCCAGGCATGAACTACTATGCTAGATTGATGTTTTCATTTTCTTATGTTTCTGCTTGTTTCTGTTTTCTAATTTTTCATAAGGTGCAGGTACTATTAGGTTGGTGCAAAAGTAATTGCAGTTTTTGCCATTAAAAGTCACGGTTACTTTCATTATAGTGTACCAGAAATTAACAAGAATAATAGCATTAATTTAAAAAGGGGTTAGTCATGCCAGGTTATATTTTGTTATTCTCAGTAGCGTCTAGAACCTGGGCTCGTGTGAGGGTGAGAGCCGTGCGGTGGAGCATAGTGACTTACTTTTTCATTTGGTAGTAGCCTTTTTTCACAGTTCCAAAATTACCAGAGCCCAGTTCTTTGTCTTCCAGCGTTAGCAGGCTTCGGTCCAGGTAAACCTCCTTGGGCCTGATCTCCTCAGGGTCTGCGTAGGGGCTCTCGTACACCTCTGTGTCCATGGGCAGCGCTTCTCTCTGGGGGCCTGCAATGCAGACAAGAATCATACAAGCTGGGGCTGGACCCCACATCAGGACTGATCCTTCCAAGAACATCATCTTCATGGGAGTGTGAACTCAGAGCAGCATCAAGGTTATAAGGGATGAGAAATTCTGAAGAGCAGCATGGACGTTTCCAATGTCACTAGGTGAGGGAGGTGGGAAAGACCATCTCATTGCAAAGCACTACCACTGCTCATGGGCATGGTGTCTACTGCCTGCCACTAGATGTGTGTGTCTCCACAGCTCACTGTGCTGTATTAAAATCACAGACACGGGGTGGATTCGTGAACCAACTCTACAAACCGACAAGTGACCACGCGCTTCGCTCTGTGAATGTCCCTTGAATGAAAGCAAGTCTCACCTTTTTCTGCAGTCCAGGGCCCAACTTCGGGCTCATACGGATTGAATGACACGGTACTCTCTGGCCGGTTCCCTTGGGCAGGGGAGGGCTAAAGTACAGAAGGACAACAGGTCGTTTTTTTCATCCATACAAATGTTAAGTTGATCTGCATAACTATTTTTTAGAAATCACGCTTTAACTTTTGCAGGAAAGACAAAGGAAAGAATTAAGAAAAACAAGAAAGAAAATAAGGCTGATCTCATTCTTCGGGCAATTATTTGGATATTGCAAGGGCGATAGCAAGCTTGTGCTGCTACAACTGAAGGGACCCTGCGGGGTGTTCAGAGGATGTGGTGAGTCAACTCTACTGGCCTGGATACAGGTGCTCCCCCACTCAACCCCATGCACATCCTATTCCCACCTGCCGAAGGTCGCTGATGATTTGCATGTTTCCCTTGGATGCATTTTCCTCCTTTAACTCATGCTCCTCAATTTCATATTATATAGAGGCTATTTAAAGAGGGGAATTAGTACTTATTAGCTGCTCCCACCTACTTCCCAACTCCAAACCACGCATGTTTTCCTAGTCTCCACCCAAGTCTTTATCTTCAGTGGAGATGCAGCAGCATTGGGGTGGATGCCGGAGGGTGGCATTGGTCAGTGACTACAGGTCCCAGCGGAAGGCCAGCTGCTGCCGCCAGGGCTGCTGCTGGAAATCAGTGTCCCTGTGAGACTGGGGCTCATTTTTTGTGCAGCTGAAAGAAGGCAGTTCTTCCGAATACCTACAGCAGGTAACAGGGGCATATCTGAGACAAAGTTTTGCAGCCTGTTAACAGCATTCTTCCCTATTATTTATTTGATCCACATCAGTTTATATCGTGAAACAACGGGTGGGGGAATCTACTCCTTATGATCCTAAGGACTTTCCCTTTTCCCTTTTACAAGTCTCTATCTTGAGTTTTTCTGACCTACCCTTTCTTCCAAATTAAAACAAGATTCTGGCTTCTTGTTACTATATTTAATTCACAGGAGAACCATGATTCAGATGCTTTTTTTTTTTTGGAGTGAGTTGAGTCGCAATTCTATAAGTCGATTGACCTTCTCAGTGCCCGAACACTGGCCACGAAGAAATGAGATACTGCCAGATTTTGGAGAAAGTTAAAGAAACAGAGACATTAAGCTTAACATGACAGTCACTTATCTTACGACACACACTAAATCCTCATCTGCCTTATTAATATTACAAGCCCAGAAACTACAAGCAGAATAATGAAGTCACAATGCACCTCTACGGCCACTAAGCCATTCTCTCCAAACACCCAGACTTCCTTCTTTCACGCAGTCTGCTGAGCACTTTGGAGGCAGGCACTGCTCACCATGGCCGGAGCCCATTGACGAGGGTAAAGAACATTTGTTGTGATTATAAAAATGATGTCGATGGGATCCATTTTCTCATAGACTATCTCAGCATTCTTACTGAACTGATTAACACAAGTAACTATGATACATCAAATGAAAATAGAATATAAGTTCCAGGGGGCATAGACATTTGTTCACCACATTGGGAGCTGCGCCACATCCACAAGGATGCTCAATAAAAATGTGTTGGACAAACACATGAATCAATGGATGGGCGAATGAATGAAAATCACTTCTAAAACCAGGATATGTGAAGTATAAACTAACGTGCTTTAAAAATTAGCTCTCTCTCAAGTCTTTATGCTAATGAAGAGAAATAAGAATGAATAATTCCAAATGACAATCTATTTCTTCTAAACATTTACATGTGATTATAGGACCGTGCCGTGGTTTCACTTCTGGTTTATAATACAATTATCTTGCCTCTGGAAAACTGTCTTAACAGAAACTGGGTGATTGCCAAGGCTTTCCATCCTCCTCTTTTGCTCAGTTGCCTCCCGCAACAAATTCTAGGCTGAAAATAGTTTTTTTTTTTTAAGCCTATTTCAGGGTTAACATTTACTGTCATTTCAACTCCTTTGATTTTCCTTGCAAGTAGGCACATTCTGAGATCCAAAGACAAAACTTGAGCAGACATGGAATTAAAGGATGTCCTCAGATCAGCCATCACAGGCAAGAAAAGGGACCATCACCGCTTCTTGATGTAAGACTCCTCTCCCTCCCATGGAGCACATTATCCTTGGGGCTACAGCCTCTCTACTCTTATCCAGACCAGGACTTCCAAATGGCTTGTTCCAATTAAACCAGAATGCAATTCCCTGACATATGAATCCTGTAGGGAAGAATTTTAAAACAGAGATGGGGTTGTCAAAATATGCTGAAAAGGATACTAGGGTGTCAGGAATCAGTAAGAATTAGTAGTGATGGACACAGAGAATCTAAAATCCTGGGCAGGAATAATTTATACTCTCACTAGCAGTGTGTCGTTCAACCCTAGTCTATCTTGGCTTATGGATAGGGAGATAGACGCGGGATCTTCCTTGGAAGTTAGAACTCCACGTTTACAGCTAAGGTAGCTCGGGGCTTCATTTCCACGCCGCCAAGCACGGACCACTATGTGATGATGAGCGTTTTAAGCCAATCCACAAAGAACCCTCATGTCTCTCAATAACACCACATCAGCTCTCTCCTACCCAGAGTCCTGGGCTCCCTGCCCCTATTTCTTTCTGGTGACTAATGAGACTGGAGCAAAGGATGATACCACAATTGGAAGAATGCAGAAGAAATGGGAGGCTTCCTATTGAGTCTGTTAAAAGAACAGTGAGTGGTTTCCTTATGATTAAGATGAAGGTGCAAAATGCACATTTCATCTTTCACAAAGCACTTGGTGAATAAGCAACTTAGTAGAACAATAACCAGAACAACCTCTAAAAGAAAATGCTCAGTTATAAAGAAAAATTTGAGGAGTTTGTAAAGAATGAGCACAGAGGCATAATGATAAATTGTAAAAATATTAATTATTTTTTAAAAAAATAATTTTTAATTTTAATGAAAAATATATTGCCGGTCTACATTATTATTATTTGCCTTTTATTCTTTATGTCTGCATTTGCATTTGGGAGCTCTATTCTGTCCCAATCAATAAGTGTCATCTGTTCTGCACAGTGAACAACAGCTGTAAATGAAACGTTGACCATTCCGTTTTCCTCATTTTTACCAATACTCAGAAGAGGCTCAAACTCACAGTCCACCACTAGATGGCACTAGCCACCTTAGCTTTCTACCTTCCGAAAGAGCAACTGGTGACTTTTCCTTAAATTTTATAAATTCAGGTAAGGACATCCCTCTGCAATAATAAGTTTGGTTATAAATTATTGTCCCTGATTTCCTATTGGTAAGGTTTAACTGCAGATAGAAAATGTATTTGACAAGTATTTTTTCAGTGCCTATGTTTAAAAGCTGGGGGTCTAGAAATGAACAAAATAGGAAAAAATTATTGCTCTATGTAACTGATAGGCCCATTCAGAGTTTCCTGATTGCCAAGTATCCTAACATCCATTTATTAGATGTTAATTTTTACTCCCAGATTCTTGGGACATGTTCAAATTAGTAATGCAGATGGCAATACAGTCATCAGTCATCACAATAAAAGAAAAAAAAATCAGTAACATACTTATAAAAAATAAACAAAATTAACTTAATAATACAACTACTAGTCTTTAAATGAGTTAAACCCCTCCCAGTATTAGTCCTGGAATTTGTTCTAGCAGTAATGTAGATGGCAATATAGTCATCAGTCATCACAATAACAGTGACAAAAGAGCCAGTTGGCTTTAGAAATATTGGCTGCAATAAACTAGGCGTGCTTTCCTTTATTCGGTGGAATGACCCTGGCCCAGTAGATCCCCACAGATGAGGGTGGACTGTTGGTTGGGAAATAAGCTACTATTAGCCTTGCACTTGAGATCAGTGAAAATAACACCTGACCTCTGCAATTACTCTTCTCTTACAGCAAAGACCTAAAATCTGTTCCTTTATAATTGTATGAAAACACATTTTCTCCAGGGTCTGGTCTACTAAGGCATTACCGAGCAAAAAGGGTATGACTTGAGAATGTTTCTTTCTTTTTTCTCTTCCCACTGAGCCCTGTACTTAAATGTAAGTTTTAAAATATTATAATAACCAATGTATGTGTTGGAATAAAACATGAAAAATGGGTTTTAATTGGAAATTCTGGGACATATTTCAGTTCAATCTTCTTAGAGGATTTACCTTTGAGATGCGAAGCTGAAAAGCTCCCTGGAAGTGTTTAGGGATGCTGCTGTTCAATTTCCACCTATTTTCCATAAAAGGATAAGGTTCAGTGCTTAAAGCAGCAGAGAAACAAATTCCAGGACTAATACTAGGAGAGGTTTAATTCATTTAAAGACTACTAATTGTATTCTTAAGTTTGTTTATATTTTATAAGTATGTTACTAATTTCTTTTCTCTTTTTTTCTTTTCCTTCCTTCCTTCCTTCCTTCCTTTCTTTTTCTTTCTCTCTTTCTTTTTCTTTTTTTCTTTCTGTCTTCTTTCTCTCTTTCTTTCCTTTTTTTTTTTTTTTTTTTTTTTTTTTTTTTTTTTTTTCCCGTCTGGAGTGCAGTGGCATGATCTCTGCAACCTCTGCCTCCCAGGCTCAAGTGATTCTTCTGCCTCAGCCTCCGAGTAGCTGGGATTACAGGCACATGCCACCACACCTGGCTAATTTTTGTATTTTTAATAGAGATGGGTTTCCACCATGTTGGCCAGGCTAGTCTCAAACCTGACCTCAAGTCATCCACCTGCCTCACCCTCCCAAAGTCCTGGGATTACAGGCGTGAGCCACTGCGTTCAGCAGTATGTTAGTGATTTCTAAAGACAAGTTTAAAACGCATCAGCCTGTTAGTAATTTTATGAAAAATTTAAATTATCTGATTCATAATCATCTTCAAATCGAAACATACTTTTCATTAACTATCTAGAAGCTATAGGTAATTCAAATTCTAACATGCATTTTTTTGTGCCTGAATTATTAAAACAACTACTTGCATTGAGCAAATTAACAAGTTGAAGGAAGTTATTTATCTCTTAGCTAATGAGATGGGATATTTAACATAATGCTCACAATTCTTTTCTCATGACTGATTACATAATGGAAAGTTCCCCATGTATTTGGGAAAATATACTTATTAGCTCTAAAATATATCTGATAAGCAATTAAAATATTTATAATCTATAGCTTAAGCTATATAATCTTGATCTTTTAAAAATTATCTATCAATATTTTTGGCTTTATATATTATGAGTAATACCTATTCCCAGCTTCTTATTTCTGTAAAGAATTCAATGTATACTTTAAAGTTGGTTATTAGAAAGCAAACTCTTTTTTTGCCAGAGAGGTATTTTCACAATATTAATCAGATTAGTTACTCTCTAATATTTAATTCTCTGTTTTAAAAAACTGATTAAAAATTTTTAGCAGGTTCAAATTTAAAAAGATACAACAGAGTTTACAATGAAAAGTGGGGCTTCTTAACATTCCCATCTCTTACTCTGGAGGCAATCAGCATTGCCAGTATTTTCTGTATTTTTCTAGGATACTCTATACGATCTCAAGACATTCTGCATATATGTGTGTGTACGTGTGTGTGCACGTGTGTGCATGACATTGTCTTTTACAATTAAAATTACATTTTGGAAACAATCCTAGATCTCAGCTGCCTCCCATAGTCGCAACTTTACTGTAACTGATTTCATTTGTTTTCCATTGATGGGCATTTAAATTGTTATCAGACTTTGTCAATCATGTAATTTTGGAATAAACACCTTCACATGTACATGATTTCACATAAATGCAAGAATATCTGTATATACTTAGAAATAAAATTGCAGAGCTTTTCTTACAGATTTTATCATTTCAGACTTCCCCAAGGAAGAGTGAAAGTGCTTATCTACCACGCCTTTACTACAGTATTATCAAGCTTTTAAAATGTGGATCAGTTTCACAGGTGGGCGCTTGAGCACCATAGTTTTCACTTGCGTTTCTCTTCTCATGAAGTTAAACAACATTTCATATGTATAAGAACTATTTATATTTGCTTTAGTATAACCTACTACTGATATTCCCTGCCCATTATCCTAGTAGACAGTTAATATCTTTCTTATTGATTTATAGAATCTCTTTGTATATTAAAGCTACTAATCTATGTGTCAGCATTAGTGCTACTTATTCCCAGTATCTTATTTCTCTCGATGATGTTATGGTTCTTATCCATACATATATTTCTTTATTTTTAGATGGTCACATTTACTGATATTTTCTTCAATTTTTTTCCAACATGTTCTCCTGTAGTCTAAACGCTAAAACTTATTTTCTAGGTATTTCTTTAGCCACTGTGAGTAATCTGTGGGGGTGTTTTGTCTTGGGTAAACATGAAAAACAGACATAGTTATTTTGTTTAGGTGTAAGATACACCTTTTCTTCCTGCGTTAAATTTTTTCTGTTCTGTAGTCAACATGATTGAGAACTTTTTGAGTATGACTAAACTCGGAAAATTTTTAGTAAATAAACTCTAAGGGATTTTATGCCTTTTATTTCCGTTGTTTCTAATAAATACTTTAGGCAACCTACTTCATGAGTGGAAGCTAAATTGTATGCTAAAATGTTGTAAAAACACCAGTTAATATAAAAATAAAAAGAATTACTGAAAAAAGAATCAATTTCACCCCACTGATAATGAAAGTAGGGATGGGAAAAAAAGCAATTCAAACACATTAATATACATATTTTGAAGGAAGGAATGAACGAGTCATTATAAATAAAAGTCATTAAAAAGAACTTATTTTTATTCTTCCTCAAAATCCAATAATAGAACAAAACATGGAAATCAATCAGATGTCAACATTACTGCCTCAAAAAGAAAACTGGCTTTTCTAGTCCTCAGATTGCACCTTTCTTTACATATCACATTAGCAGTTCTGCGTTTGACGTCTAAGCCGTAATGAAGCCACCGTGCACTGCCTGACCTCACTGGACAGGACACCCCACAAGACCTTGGCGTTCCCTCCGGCACAAGGTAACTTACATAATCAATTACCAGAACACTGCAACATGTGATTCTGGCCACCAAAAAGTAGGCCATCTTTCAAAAGATTTTCCAACGTGACAATTAGCTACGACAGATGATGCCAACTGAAACGACTTTAAAATGATGCTTGGGCAGAGAAAGCATGCTCACACTGATGGACTTCCAGCTGACGGACTAAGGACCCACATGAAAAGCACAGGATGTACCTGGGGCGCGGCTGCCCAGGATCCGCAGGTGTGAGCAAGGGCAAAGAGGCCTGGAAGCAGAGTGGCAACAGGTGGAGGGCAGCGCACACGTAGGGCAGGCTGGGCGGGCGGGAGCTGAGTGCAGGTTGGTCCTACCACTTAGTTGGACAGCAAGCAGGGGATACTTTAGCACCTTTCTGTGGCCAGGCTTTGGGAAGGAGTATGATTTGATTCTTGAGATTATTCCACCCGCTGACCAAGTCTAGAAACCACAACAGCAAAGAGGAAGAGTAAATGTTTCAGAAAACAAATACAGGATCCCTTCCATGACATGCTAATTAAACTCGCTTCTATAATTGCATTGCTAACGCCCTCCTGCCCCTGCCCATGAGATCCATCACAGGCAACATCTGATCATTGGGAAGGCTTCTGGAAAGGCCTGCCACCTGGGGAGAAGGATCTAGAAATATATTTGGGACATATGTTCCACTGAAGGCTAAAACATTAGAGCTGTTACATTTACTAGCTCATGCTTCTTGTGGATCTACTAAGTCACAAGCTCAAGACAAACTACCCTAAAGAAACTACAAGTAGATCTGAGTGCTCAGTTGCATTGCTTCTTCATGGTGGGTGCTGGTCCATGGTGGAAAATTTGTGGAAATTCATTGAGTTGTATACTTGGGGCCTCTGCATATTTCCATATGTATTTTACCAGTCAATTAAAAAGTTATTCCAAAATATCTAAGTTCTTGAAGCCATTGGGTGATGATGGCTAAGCACAGGGCTTGACATTCTTTTAAGAGTTCTCAGCCCTAAGCCCTCATCCATCTGAAGTATATGGATCTGTCTCATGGAGCCTATAATATTAGGGTAGAGTTGCCAGGCCTGCGAGCCTTGTAAAGGGCAAAATGAAGTCATACCCCCATAAAGGAATTACATTTTGATCCCAAAGTTCACTGGTATCTTAGCAAATTCAAATTCCCTGCATTTGATAACAAGTGCTGACCCTGGACGGCCTCCCCTGTTTCAACCTGGGCGCAGCATGGAGCAGACAATTGTCCCTACTGGAGGCAGGACATATATTTGGCTTTCTGCAGATTTTGTTTTTCAAGTGTTACCAAGCAAAAAGTGAGGTGCAGAGGGCGTACTTCACAGATGGCATTAAAAGGCATAGAAAGTCCATGTGAAGTCCCCGAAAGAAGAGCAGGAAGAGAATTCCTGCTTACAGCATAAATCTGTGCCCGACCTCCTAACAGGCTGGAGAGAGGAGAGAGCTGGGGTTCTGTGGATTACACAGGTGTGTTAACGTAGACAGCTCAAGGATGAAGTTAAAAAATACGTTCCTGTTTCTCAAATATTGCAAGAGGCCTATTTCTGATTTAATACTGGGTTTCCTCGTCGTTGTGTAAATTCTCCAAAAAATGAAGAGAATTTCACATGGACAAGAAGTTAAGAAAATGTGGCCAGGCAGGGAGTGGTGGCTCATGCCTGTAATCTCAGCACTTTGTGGAGGTCGAGGCGGGAGAATAACTTGAGTCCAGGAATTTGAGACCACCTTGGCCAACATGGCAAAACCCCATCTCTACTAAAAAATACAAAAATTAGTCGGGCATGGTGGCAGGCACCGGTAAGCCCAGCTACTAGAGAGGGTGAGGCAGGAGAATGGCTTGAACCCGGGAGGCAGAGGTTGCAGTGAGCTGTGACTGCACCACTGCACTCCAGTCTGCGTGACATGAGACTCCGTCTTAAAAAAAAAAAAAAAAAAAAAAGAAAGAAAGAAAACTTGGCTAGTAGTAGGCTGATTCTGCCCAATGCGCATTAGTAGTCCCAGCTCATCATGGAGTATATTTTGAAGGGCAATCAAAATCTCAATGACCACTACTCCTGTTGGTTAAAACTTTATTTTCATTTGTGATTATGAATATGCAACAGCTTCTCATTCAGTGGTGTTCCTAACGACACTTACCGCAGGATGGGAACCTGGAAGCTGTGGACGACCTCCAAAATTAACATTATTTCCTGCTTAGAGAGAGCATGGACAATTACTGCTCTGTTCGTGGAAACCACTTCCTTCCCCTCCCCACTGCTGATCAATCAATGAGATCAGAGGTGCTCTGCTTGAGAAGGGAGCACACTTTCTGTGGGTACCTCTTTTGATCCTCTTTTACTTTTTCCCACATGCAATTAAGATAAATTATTACTAGTTGCAACTGGCAATTTTTTGATTCATAATATGGAAAATTAGAGTTATCTGACATCATTATTAATCATTCCATAAAAAGAAGTCCTTATCCAACCCGAATCTGCAATCAGTTAAGTCTAAAGTGAGGCTGATTGTCACTGATAGCTCAAAAACGGAGACTCCAGTGTCTCGGGAACTTACCCTGTGAGCCGATTTTTTGACATGGGACTGTAAGAACTCTTAACAAACCATCTGCTTTATAAGAATAATGCTCGACCAGCTGAAAGAGAAAAAAGTAAGAAAGTGTGGTAAATGACAAGGTCAGGAAATAGAGAAATAGGGACTGAGAGCTGCCGACTGACTATTGGGCTTTCAAAGTGACCCCAAGACACATGAATGCTTTTATGTGCGTAAGTCCACTCCACAAGGGTGGCTGGGGAAGTGGGCCCACAGCTAGGGATCGTCCATCTTGGGCAAGGGACAGCAAACTTTTCCTGTAAAGGGTGAGAAAGAGGTACTTTAGGTTTTGATGGGCCTCATACCGTATCTGTGTCTGTCTGTCTATCTATCTATCTGTATGTCTGTCTGTCTGTCTCTCTAAAACAACACCTTTAAAAGTCTAAAAACCATTCCCATCAAGGATTACACGGAAACAGGCTGAGAGCCAGATTTGGTCTGTGGGTTTGCAGATCCCCGGTCTACAGTAAAGAATACTGAAATAGGGTCACATAGAATCACCAACTCTCCGTGAAATAGCACTGGGGCCCTGGAGTTGGGGTAGGGTACAGAGGTACCCTACAATGCTGTCAAGAAAAATCAACAGAATCATGCATGGAAAATTGAAAGGTATTGCTGGTATTTTTGATGTAGTTTCCTAAACACAGTGCCTAGAAAATACACAATGAGAAAGAATTTAATTAGGGCTGAATGCTATGATCTACCAGGGGAATCATTCTCAATAATTTGAGATGCTTAACACTACCTGAGTGCTCAGCCTTTGAATGCCCTTTCTGGAGAAGGTGAATGAATGGCTGTTTGTAAGTGATGGGGCCTGGGACCCTGGAACATTAGTCTGGCATAGAGGACTCCAGGTGCCTTTGCATTCCAGAAGGCAACATTCCCTACAAACCTCCCTCATGTTGCTTTGGGCCTCAAGTGTAGAAAAGTTAAATATTTATTTGGATCAATATCATTAAAAGAAAGCAAAGCCTGTGGTTGATGATAACACATGCCAATGAGCCATAAGATCAAAAGACAATGTAAATGTAAATGTTGTAGCTAATATTTTTAATATGGCCATATCCAGCAATTTGATTTTCCAATTATGGCATTAGAAACCAGATCACATTTGGATGTAGTAACTTTAAGTGCTTTAAAGGGACTAATGCTCCATGGTCTCAGTTTTTGAAAAGACAGGATTTTCAGTTGAGTCCTTTCCTCAATATTGACTGCATGTGTGGCCCCAGCTGGGCCTGGGTGAGGAAATTTGCATGCACCCTGATTACACCCCTCACCCACACACGTTCAAGGTAGCTGGTGCTCTGGGGCAGTGGGGTGGTGGCAGAGTCAGTTGGCTTTCTTTTCTCTCTCTCTCTGAAACTACTACAGTTTACAGGATGCTCTGCTAAGATGGTTCATGAAGCACTGTTACTGTTATTTCCTTCATCATCAGCCAGTGTAGTTGTGATGCAAAATTAAGACAAGCAATCTGTGCATACTGCGATTCAGGAAAAGCAGTGATGAGCTTTATTTTAGTGCTCATTAGTGTCCAAGGAACTTCCAAACTGCGAGTTGTTTCAGGGTTTACTCGTAGCTGGGTCAGGAATAAGCACTTTTTAGACTAGGGCTGTGGCAATGCATATGTGCAGCAGCCTGGAGCCTGGGGAGTACACTTCCTAAATTTAGGATGTGTTTCCTAAATTGCCTTGGTTTCCGCAGGAGAGAGACTCAATTTACAATGAGGAGGGCACCTGACATTTACTGTCTATTTCAGCCTCTCGCACCACCAGCAAAGGCCTGCTTAGCTGTTCCCAGGCCTCCTTCCCTGGCCATCCATGCCTCTATTTTGTGTGTCTTTGTGTGAAAGGCTGTTCTGGAGTCTACCCAGATTATCCTAGGAAGAAATATTTTCTAGCTCTCCAAAAGAGGGTGTCTTGTTAAACTCTGAATACAGCTCTGCACATACATCACCCTGTGACACTGAGGACTGAGTGGCCCTTAACAAGCCATGGAACCTTCATTCATCTCACATGATGGCCCCTGGACCAGTGCTTCTCAAACACAGAAGCCACCTGGAGGCTGAAAAAGGGCTCTGATGGGCAGGTGCGACAGGGGCCCAGGTGTGGATACAGGTGTACATTTCTCACAAGCTCCAGGGCTGCTGCTGGCCTGGGGACCACACTGTGGACAGTGGGTGGTCCAGTTTCTCTGGTATCTAAGAGCCCATGGGACAAGAAGCCCCATGTGCCCTGTACTCTACCCGCAAGGTGGGGAGAGGGGCCGGGTACCTGCCACAGTGTGTCGAACTTTTTCCCCTCTGGGATGGAGAGCTTCCCCGTCTTGTCTTTGTCAATGCGATAGTGCAGCACCTTCCCTTCGTGCAGCAGGCACAGGGCGTAGGAGCCGTTGTTGTCTCTGGCTCTGATCCTGGAAAAGAGGATGGAGCTGCATCATCCCCAGGCCTGCCAGTCCCCAGTAAGACCCTAGGAGGAGGAAGCGCCCTGGCCTGAGTGGTCAGCAGCAGCTCTCTGGGGTCTGTCACCTGGCAAGGCAGCCAGAGGGCAGTGTCTGGAGCCTCAGGGTCAAGGACTTTGCCCAGCCTACCCAGGAATGCCCAGTTCACCACTCAGTGATGATGCCAGTGGGGGAGCTTGCAACAAGAAAATTCCAGCAGGTTGGCGATGAATGGACAATGGCTAAAATCTAGCAGGGCCCGGGATCCCTGGGTGGTGGTCAGGAGAGCCTGGTGCTCCGTAGCAGTGATGCTGCTCAGGGCGATGAGTACGGGGGATCCATGGGCCTTGATTATCTGTGGAGCCCTTTGGACTCTCTTTTCTTCACTAACGCCTGCATTTGGGTCAGATCCAAGATGGACATCTCCACCACCTAGCTTGGGGCAGGGGTGGGGTGTCTGGTGGGCATTTTAACCAGCCATCTTCTGGACCAGAGATGGAGGGATGTGGAAGCTTCTGTCCCCCAGGGCCTGCCTCGCTCCCTCCCATGCTCCCATTGCAGGAAACGGCAGCAGGGCTGGACTTTAAACATTTTCAAATGATGATATTGTCAGGAAAGATCCCCAGGAGAAGAAAATGACATCTACTGTGGGGTCAAGAGATGGAAGTGAAACCAGAGCTGTGCCGGCCGTGCTGAACAGCCGAGGCTCGTCTTCAAGGTCATGCTGGGCTACACTCAGCACCACCCCCTGCCCCCGGGGCCTGGTGAACAGAGATGCGAGAGTCTGATGCCAGGCAGGGAACAAAACTCCCACTGCAGTGCATGCGACGAGAGGCTTCTGACCCATGGAGGCGACAGATCCCCTGGAAGACCTGTAGGATTAGGGGAGGTCCAGGTTTCGGTGGAGGCTGAAAGGGCATGAAATGGGTGCAAATCCCCCAATTTAGCTTCATAGTCACACCCACAGCGTTCAGATCAGAATTCAGATCCCATTTCTCCCCTCGTTCTCCCCTCTCCACAGCTTTGGATCATGAGATCTGAGACTCTGAGAGTGAGTCGTGAAGTCCCAGTCCCTAACAGTTTGGAGGTGTAAAGGGCTGTCCAAATGCCACAGCAGTAAGAGTGGATGCACATGCTTATAAAAGTTGGCCTTGAAGGAATGATGACCATATACCACTCCAAAGTATTTCCTATGGTTTAATCTTTCATGTCTGTGACCTCAAGGTCATGGAGATAATACATGGGTTCTGAACCAGGTACAGTGGCACACACCTGTAATCCTAGCACTTTGGGAGGCCAAGGCAGGAGGATCACTTGAGCCCGGGAGGTCTAGGCTGCAGTGAGCCAAGACTGTACCATTACACTCCAGCCTGGGTGACAGAGTGAGACCCCATCTCTAAAAAAAAAAAAAAAAAAAGTAATAATAAATGGGATCTGAGCACTGGTTTCTGAATCCATGTCCAATCTGTACTACTCCACCTTTGCCCTATGCCTTGATTGACATTTTCTTATTAAGACGGAGACAGACAAGCACAGGTTGCCCTGAGAGACGATGCCATCAACCTCATTAGAAATCTGACAAACACAAATGAAGGCTACAGGGTAGCACTATTCCATGCTCTTCAGACTGGTGGAAGTTAGAAAGATCATTCTAAGTGCTACTGAGAGTGGGGAGCAGCAGGGCCCCTCCTGCATTGTTTGTGGGAGCATAAACAGGTTCACCCACTTTGGAAAACAATTTGGAACAGTCTCCTGAGACAGAACCTATTCATGCCGTCGTGAATGAGCAATTCTATCCCGAGGTGTATGAAATGTGTACACTACGCATCCCAGGACTGCTTATGCCAGCTTCATCTGTGTTTATCAAAAACTGCACACAACCTGAGTGTTCACTGATCACAGAGCAAGTAAATAAATTGTAGAAATTCACACAATACAATATTATAAAGCAATAAAATGAGCAAATGGCAGCTATACAAAGCACAGGTGAGTCTCACAAACATAAAACATGCTCCATGCTTCCATATACACAAAGTCCCCAACAGACAAAAGCCCCCTGTTTTATTTAGTGATGTACACCTAGGTGGTAAAACTTAAAAAAATAAGCAAATGGAAAATAACAACAAAAAAAGCAAGGGCGTGATGAACACAAAAGTTCAGGAGGTGGTGCCTCCCAGGAGGCAGCCGGACAGATGGGTATGAGTTTGTGAGGCCGGAGGGGTCTCCTGCAATGCTGGGTGCATTTCATTTCTTGGCTGGGCTGTGTTTGCTTGATCATTCATTAAGTTGTATCTATTTAGTTATGCACTCTTATGTGTTTTATATTTCACAATAAAAGCAGTATAAAAACAGAGCTAGTACCAGGAGGAAATACAGAGCAACCCAGAGGTAACAGAGAGTGCCCTTTACTTTTGAACAAGCAGTTTCTGCAAAGGCTCCCACTTCCTTGAGGCTCCTCGAGAGGATGGGTCCTGCAGGCAATCCCCTCTATTTCTGTGCTCCACCAAGCAGGCCTGGCCAGCTCCTGGTGACAGGTAACCGGCAGGTACAGGTACTGACCATGGACATGCGACCTGTGCAGCCCCCATGGCAGGTGGCAGGAAATGAGAGCAGGGAGGGGAAACCCACAGGCCCAGCATCTGTAGGTGGCAAAGACCAGAAGGCTCGTGACGTTAACCACCAGCAACTGTGAGGTATCTGCTGGCTGCAGGCAGATCTTGGACCAGGCTACTTTTAATCAAATATGGGAGATAAACTGGTTTGGAAGCCTTGCTCCTCCTCTTGGCTGTGTCCTGCTGCTGAGAGCTTTGCCTTGGTGGTGGCATCAGCACACCCACCCGGGCTTATGGCTCCACAGACACCTAGAGAGGGCGTGCATACAAGCAAGACTCCCAGCTCCTATCTGGTTTGCTGCCTGCTGCCTTCGGGGTCAACTGGCCTCAGGCTGTCCACAGCGGCCTTTGAATATTTATAAAATCTTTTCCCAAGTAATTCTCTTGGGAGGAGCAAGTTAACAGATTTGTGTTTTGCTGTTGCAAAGCCTGAGATGTCCAGGGCTTGAGCTTGAGCTGACGCTGAGAAGCTGTCCTAACTGGCCTTGAGACTGTCCTTACCTGCGGCATGGCTACTTTCCCGGGATGGGCAGCCTCGGCCTCTGGGGTGAGCAGGCCTCAAGCCTCACAGACACTACAGCACTATGCAAAGGTGAGGCATGCTGACTCTGCTGGGGCATGACCTGGAAAGGCCGGACCCCTACTCTACCCTCCTGGACCCTCCAGGGAGAGAGAGAGTATACAGAAGAGATGCCTGGTCACCAAGAAGAAAGTGAGGACACAAGAAATAGTGGGACACTGAAGGTGGCCTCCCCAGGGCTACTGAGACACTGCCTGTATCTGCTGTAGACAGAAACAGAAAAGCTGGGCACATTCCAGCCCACTAGGTGTTCTCACTCTCCCCGGCCATTTTTTTTTCCACGGCAGAGTGGAGCATCACTGTGTCAGTTGTCTGACTCACACAAGGGGAAGGAAGATGCCTGGGATTGGCTGTGTACATCAGATGTGCAAAGGATGAATGCTCACTGTGGCTAAGCTGGGCTGGGCAGATGGACAGAGGAGCCTGCGCTGGGTCAGGTGGGTAGTCCTCAGCCATCTCCCAATAGTGGCTTCTCAAGACGAGCTGGGAGAGGAGAAGAGAAAGATGTGGGAGCAAATGAGGTCCTCAACAGCATGCATGCCAGTAAGAGGCAGGAGAAATGCCAGCTTTACTGATCCATGAAAGATACAGATAATGCAACTTCTCAGTGCCTCTGCCTTGCACCGTAGCACCACTGAGGCACACGTGCATTCCATACAAACAACAAGAGCAAGATCAGTACACAACCCCTATCTGAGGCCATGCCAAGCTACTTCAACACACCTACCATTTAAAACATGTTATTACAAATGCACTCTCGTTCTCTCCCTCTGCTTTAGTTCATGAAGGTGGAATTAGTGAATGCATCTTGTCTCCAGCTTCAAGGAGACTTTGATCAGCATCAATGAAGTGATACTGACATTAGCCTACAACTCTCTTTGAACTTTTAACTTCAGACAGGTCATGGCTCTTTATGATGACCTAGGTCTGCAAAACTGCATTTGTCAAATAAGATGCAGACTTTGATCAATTATGGCAGCATATGAGTGCTGATGGAATGGAGTTTTTGTTGTGGGAAGGGAGGCTCGTGACAGCCAAAGTCTCATTCATCAATGAACAAGGAGACGGTTTTTCTAAGACCCAGATTCACTTTTGAAATTGAAGTATAGGACAGGAAGTGAGCTGGAACTTGAACAGCAAAATGTAAGTGGCAAATAAGAGCGATTAAAGCGTGTTTGGCCAAGGTCCAATGCTAACATCAGCACAGCAGTGGACAGGGACAGAAGCCTAGGCCAGCAGCACAGTGAGCATCTGGATGTGGGATTCCCATCTTAAAGCAAGGACCTGTAAAGGGGAAATCCCCTTCAATGCTGGAGGAAAGTGTCCCCAGCACTGGATACTTAGAATTCCCACAGATAAACATTAATCAGATACAAACTCAGAACCATCACTGAAAACATAAGGAAGTATGAGTTATGAGAAAAGGGGTAAGGAGGGAAAGAGATAGATATCTGAATCCCCCAAAACTTTCAGTAGTAGAATAATCAGATATAGAATATATACTCTGAAATGTTTAATAAAATAAAAGAAGATGGAATGATAGAAATTAGCAACCAATAAGATACTCTAGAAGTGCCCCAGAAATATTTGAAAAAAAATAGAACTGATAGAAATTTTCTAAAAAATGTAATTTAAAAAAATTCAGTGAATGAGCATAAAAACAGATTGGACACAAATGAAGGAAAAATTAGTGAATTGGAAGGCAAATGCAATGATGTTACTCATAGCACAAGACACAGAAAAGGCAAGGAAAAATAAAAAATGTTTAATAGGAGTCTCTG